GATACTAGAGTATCATTTTTAGGCTTTAATTCAATTTTTTTTGGTTGATGAAAATTGAAAACTGATATCAATAGTTAGGACGGGAAGGTAAGTGCGGGTGGGAAACGCACACAGATACAAATAGTACGATGTGAAGTGAACTCCACCTTTCCTCCCGCCTTGAACTTGAGAGTTCAGTAACTTTAAAAATAGTTATCGAAAACTAGTTATTGACCAGTTAAAATTTTTAGTAGGTACATTATTCTCAATTTACAAATTTCAATATTTGCGATACTATTTATTTTTCAAAAGTTGTTATCGAAAAAACCAAGTTGGGAGGGGGATAAAAAAAAATTGTGAATAAATGAGATCCTATTGCATATAACACTATAAAAAGAAAAAAGGAAATTTCTTATTAAACCCCGAGAAATATTGAGCGGTTAACGATAAGTTGATCACCTTGCATAATGACATAACAGGATGATATTAATAATGTTATATCACCCTCTTAGTAATTAAAATACATGCAGTACCATTGTAAGCTTAATCATTAATATAATATGCATTTAATTTGCGTCATACATTTTTTTTGCAGCTTGTTTTTTTGAACTATTTCTGTAATTTTATTTTCCATCTTATCGAAAACAAGTTGTTATTCACAAAAACTGTTGTTATGTATGTAAATTTATGATCAACGACTGTAGGTATCATACATTATTAAGTTTTAACATTATACATTACAAAAACTACCATCACAGAAATATTATAGTTTATTTTCGTAAACAAGTTGGTTTAAAACGCATATTGTTATGTTTTTTGTGTACTACAATGTTTAAACTATTTATTTACTTGCATTGTAAAACCATGTCTCGCGGTAAAATACTTAACATATCAAAAAAAAAAAAGCCGTGAAAATACAAAGCTAAAATATCACAGTTCCCAATAATATTGTAAAAATAATTATAATTTAGGTTTTGTACATTATTGGGTATCGATAAAAGTTTAACTATTCGAATATTCAAATCTTTATACACAATTTACACGGAGATTCTACCGTGTAAGAAATAAAACAGGTCAAACGTATACATACAAAAACAGATGCAAAACAAAATCTGCTAAGAAAAACCCCTCTTATCCATAAAAAAATTAATAATATAACCATACAAATTGTTTTTGTAAAATACGAAAATTCATATAAAATTTGAAGTTTGTAATACCTATAAGAACTTACCATTTGTTTACTTTACAATAGTCGCTGTGAAAAACACATTTTTATCTGCGCGCATTACTCTACCACACTCCACCTCCCATCCTACCTTTTAACCTTAAGTAACTTATAAATTAATTATCCAAATCTGGTTATCGACCAGTCAACATTTTCAGCAAATTGTTCTTAACAAAATGGCTATCCTAATGTTTTTTTTTTTTTTTTTAATATAACGAAAAAAAAATAAAAACATTATTTAAAAATGTAAAATAGTTAAGTAGAATAAAAAATGTTCTGCTTATAACGCAATTGTGTATAGCAATTAGATTAGGTTACATGTTGGTTAGATCATATTTTTGCAAACCAATTCACTCACGTATAGCAACCTAGTACGCTCAGGGTGTAATTCCTCTATTTTTTTTTTTGGCTTTTTCTCAGTAAAATAAAATGTTCGAGTACACAATAAATGTACATTTTATAGGTCCATTTAAGACATACATTCGGTCTATTGTATCTTAATCAAAATGTTTACACCTGCTTATTTTGAAATTGAGTAAATACATTTTTCAAAAAACTTACTAGTGGATAAGTTAAGCGATCGTTGTTCATTAATCGGTAAGTTACATTGTAATATTATTGGGCTCGATGATCCCGGACCAAATTCCGGCAAAATATACTTTGAAACGTGGAAAATGTGTCCAAGGCACAAAGCAGCCGACTCCGAGTAGTCGGTAATTTATTTCCAGGATTTTCGGTATAAAAAAACCATAAAATGAAGGGCACTTATGTGGGTGCGTGCAGCACCGTTGTGTCACCTTAACGATATTATGTAGGTACTCTTATTTTTTTTTCGTAATAATATTTCACCTCACACTGAACAAGGGTAGGGCCAAAAATTTAGATCTATACCTAATCATGATAGTTTTGTGTACTCTTCCGTCCTAACCCTCCACTCCATCACATCCCCCCCCCCTCATCCCCAAATGGCCTTTTGTGTTTGTCATCCAGGTTTCGGGCAATCGGCACTAATTCGTTCTGTGTTCACGATTATTACAGTAAACACCAACTTCGGGGGATACGTACTTTGTCAAATATTCATCCCGTATCGGCCCCAAAGGCGTCCCGAGTTAAGAGTTACAGCCGTAGTTGGCCGGCCAATCCTTTCCCGGTTCTATTGTTTTTGTCTGTGCTTGTGTTTTGTTTTAATTTTTTCATTTCCACCGGTAAGTAATAATGTAGTTTCGAACAAAACACACATCTGTATGCGCAGTCAAGGCCCCCAAACAATTTGCTTACACTCGAAACTATGTCAAATTTATTTTGCAAGTCGTTTTCTTTGAAATTTTGCAAGAAGTTTTCTTTGACCAAACAATTCGATGTCATCGTTTGTGTCAAATATATCTTGTTATTGCCGACGGGAATTTATTTTTACCAAAAAACGACGATGTAATATTTATAACAATTTTTTTATAATATTCATCTTAATGAATATAAAAACGAGATGAAAGTAGATGAACGTAGATGGTAGATTTTTCTTTTCAGTTGTAATCCTTAACGATTAATTCTCATCAATATTTTTTTACCTGCCGCCAACGATTTGAAGCCCTACGACCAAGGTCTGTTGTTGTAATAATAATAACGATATTTTATTATACCTAACATATATATCGGACCTACTTGAGTTAGGATAGGACTTATTTTTAACCGTCAAAATAAAATGAAAAAATTATAAAATTTATAAACAAATATTTTATCACACGAATTATATTTATTAAATCTATAGCAATTTTACAAATTAATTAAACAATCTATTGAATATTACAAACGTATATCTCTATTGAAATATGTGTATATTTTTTTTATAAAAATGTATGTAATGTAATATTCTAGTGCATACAGTATTCTTTAATATTAATTTTAAAGAAATATATTGAAATATCTGAAAAAAATTAAATATGTCTTTGGTTTGCAAAAAACAAAAAAATAATATACTAAAACTTAACATAACATCAGTATCTATTACAAAATAATATATTTTTCAAAGGCAAATTACACTCTTAAGTTGATTTTGGAGTTGAAATGCGAAAGAACCAGGTATCTCTCTGTACAGCCTACTGCGACGTATCCATGTGGGAAAACTAACCAACGCTTCGTCTGGAAAAATGTAAAAGTTAATCAATAAAAATGACGACTACAATGGTGTTCTAAAGTCTTACATTTATTTATACCGTCCTTATATGAATAATCAATGTATATACTGTGCCATCTAGAAGTTTAAACAAATACGTTATTTCATTATATATTATAACACAAAATGCGTATTCATTTTCGATATGATGATATTCATACGTATATCTACTCTTGTACAACATACTTAAATATTAAAATATTTTACTAATAAATAAACAAATAAAATTAAAAATATTAAAAGTACAATTCGATACGAGAACGAAAAACTTGACGTCAGATATAGGTAAAACATTTTCTGAAAGATGTTTATTCGTCGACAATTACAGAGAATAATATTGGAAAAATTACGTTTTTTTTTATCTTAAAAGAACATGTTTAACGTTTACAGTTCTTCGTTCCATTTGAACGGCATAACAAAATAAATATTGTCCTAAAATTACATTAAAACTATTTCTTTGTGTAGTAGATATACATATACATATGTATAATGTGAAAACATAATATACTGAATACTGTAGAACTTATAAGTTTGCTCTAAAGACAAAATACAAAACAATAATTTCAAAAGATTTCCGAAAAAAAAATGTTTTTAAAATTCAAATATTCAAGTACGAAAATAAAATTTTAATTATAATTTTAATGAACATTGTTGCTAATTTTTCGAGGACAAAATATCACCTCTCCACCTGGTATCATGATCAATCGTACTCGTAAAGTAAAAATAGTACTAGAAATATATCTACCAACCCGTTGCGAAGCCGGCAACATTTTTACTATTTCGTGGTACTCCGTCAACGCAATTGGCAATTTTTCTATAAACAGTTTGTAGATAATTAAAAATCAAAATTCAATAAATAGTTAAGTTTTTTATTACCATCATGGCCGACTACTTTGAGTACTTCTAAAACTTCTTTCTTGTCAAGGAACACCGCCGGAAACTTTTCACTCATTATGTTCACGAAATCTTCAGTCAAAATTTGGTTATTTTTAATAAAACTTTCATTCTTCTCTTCAATTTTTCTCTAAAAAAATTTGAGAAGCGCATATTGTATAATAATTTTTAATATCTTTTTTTGGTAAGGCAAAGGTGCAAAAGTGTATTATACGGAATGATTCATTAATAATAGTACACAACAATTTTGTAGTTTTTATCATTATAAGACACATTAGTCATTGTTTTTTTACATTTTTAGGCCTCACTCAAACCTGTACTCTTCCTTGTAACCTATTAAATGTTGTAACTTAAATGGTGACTAACATACCTAGTGAACATTTTAATTGGAAATGATTTGCTAAGATTTTTTTTCTGATTTATAATAAATAAAAATGTATAAAAAAAATTGCGATTTGTTCGACTTATAATTTGGTTGAAGTTTCTATAGGGTTTATTTGAAATATTTGTATGGTATCAAACTTTATAAACATTTTTTCAATATCATTAAAATTTCTAAAGTTGGTAGATCTTATGAAAACATTTTAAAACTTTGATATTTTATAATTTTACGTAGTAATAAAATAACCACAAAACCTGCAAAATTTAATAAATGGATCAGCCTAAACACTACCAAAAAAAAACTGAACAAACCTGTGACAAAATACATATTATCGGTTCCATTTTTTCGACATGTTCAAATCCTATTTCATAGTTTATTTTCACGTTTAATATCGGTTCCTTTTTTTCGACATGTTCCAATCCTATTTCATGGTTTATTTTTTCGTTTATTATCGGTTCTATTTTTCCCCCATGTTCTAGACCTATTTCTTGGTTTAATTTTACGTTTAATATCGGTTCCGTTTTTTTCCCATGTTCCAATTCTATTTTATGGTTTTCTGAAAATAATAATGGCACTTGTTGAATGCATTTTTCTTAGAATATGGTTATTTTTATATTACCCTGTATATTAATTAAATATGTATATTTCTCTGCTTGGCGAATGGTGATAAATACTTTGAACTTTTCGTATAATAGTTTCTGTAATTCCGTTGCGGAGATAGAACCAACATTGTCGGTGTCGTATTGGTCAAAAATCTTCTTCCAATCATTTGTTGATAAGTTATTCAGATTTGGATTTATATTCTAGAATAAAATGTACAGTTAATTTTCAATCATTGGCATCTATCCAAAAAGTTATATATTTTTCAATAGTCAATTACACTCATTAGTGGCTTGTCGAGATTAGTTATAAGAGACGCAGATTCATCTCTGGCTAGCCAGTGTTTTCGTATATATTGAAGAAAATCAATGTCAGGGTCGTCTGGAAAAATGTAAATGTTAATGAATAAAAATGACCGCTACAATGTTGTTTTTAACTATTTACCGTTAAATAAACAAAAATCCTTGTGTATACGTGCCATCTAGAAGTTTTAACAAATACGTTATTTTATTATATGTTATAACACAAAATGCGTAATCATTATTTTATATGATTCAATTCATACGTGAATCTACTCTTGTGCAAAATACTTAAATATTAAAGTATTTTAGTACTTAATATATAAATCAAATATTAAAAGTACAATTGGATACCAGATTGAAAAACTTGACTTTAGATATAGGAAAAACATTTTCTGGAAGTTTTATTCTTCGATAGTTACAGAGAATAAAATTTTAAATAGGTTTTTTTTGTTTTAGAAGAACAAGCTTAACGTTTTTAGTCCCCGTGCATCAATTTAATACTTTCTAACTTTGTTGGCTTACACTGTGCTTGGTTTGTTCTGTACTGTCTTGAAATTACTAACTACTGATATGCATCAAAGCGTTTTTTTGAAAGTGATTTTATCACTTTTAAATTTCAAAATTCCCTTAAACCTGTGACCTCCCTTTCCCCACTATGCCCCGACCTCACTGTACTGTTTTTTTTTTTGGCAAACACATAGTGGACCAAATAACACATAATCCGTGTCTTGTTAAATTTAGTTGGAATGGTCGACGATTCATGTTTCATTCGTTTGTACTCCATAGTTTAAATTAAAATCGCTTTTTCTCAATTAAAATAATATTAATGTATTATATACTTCCATTAGAGTAATCTCACACTAACTATTCATACTTCATAGGTTATATTCTTTCAAAGCTCTATTATACTTCTATTTTAATAGATTGACGAACATATTTAAATAATTTTTTTAATGAATATTGTTGCTAATTTTTGAGAACAAACTTTGAATATTATCTTACCACTTGGTGCTATAATCAGTCGTACTAATAAAAGAAAAATAATATTAGAATTATAACTACGAACCCGTAGCGAAGCCGTCAACATTTTTATTATTTCGTGATACTCTGTCCATTCAATTGGTGATTTTTCTATAAACAGTTTGTAGGTAATTAAAAAACAAAATTCAATAAATAGTTGAGTTTTTTACTACCGTCATGGCCGCCAATTTTTAGTACTTCTAAAACTTCTTTCTTGTCTAAAAACATTTCCGTAAAGTAACTCGCTGTTTTGTCCACGAAAACTTCTCTTGATATTTTATTATTTTCATTCTCTTCGGAGTTTCTCTAAAAAAAAAAAAATATAAGAGGCGTAAATTATTTCAATTTAATAATGACTTTTTTTGGTAAGGCTAAGATGTAAATATTTTTGTACAAGTTAATTAATTAATGATAATAAACATTAATTTTGAAAATTTTTCTTTGTGCTATATAATAGTTATTGATTTTTCCATTTAGGAATTATTCTCAAATATGTACTTTTCCTGGTAATCTATCAATTGTTGAATTTTAAATACTGACATTTAAACCTGGTTAAGAATGTTTCTGATCAATAATTAGTTTTGGATAGACATTTTAGAAAAAGTGTTTAAAAAAAATAACTTGCTTAACTTATAATTCGGTTGAAGTTTCTATACAGTTTTTTTTTAAATATTTGTATAATTTATGGTATACATTATCTAACACATACAGTTAGATATCAAACTTTCAGTTATAACCAAAACAAATACTAAAGTCTATGGGGTTGCGATATATTCGACTGGAAGTATAAAAACTAAGAAAATTCTAGTGTGGTAAAGATGAGACAACCGTTCTACATTTTAAGCTACTCCCATCATACATTTTTATTACATATTTTCATTATTATTAAAATTACTAAAGGTGGTAGATCTGAAAAATAACCGCAAAAACTGTAAAATTTAATAAATAGATATCCTCTACAGTAACATAAAAACTGAACAAACCTGCGACAAAACAAATAGTATCGGTCTCATTTTTTTCAACTGTTTCAATCTTATATTATTGCGTTCTGAAAATAATTAAGGAACTTGTGGAATAAATATTTCGTAGAATATGGTTTTTTTTGTTCTTACTCTCAGAATTAGGGGTCTGGGATGTAAGTGCTCTTATATATTTCCTTGCATTGCGAATGGTGATAAATACTTGGAACACTTCGTAAAATAATTTCTGTAATTCCGTTTCGGAGATTAAACCATTATTGTCGCTGTCGTATTGGTTAAAAATCGTACTCCAATAATTTGTTGATAAGTTATTCAGATTTGGATTTATATTCTAGAATAATATGTACAGTTAATTTTCAATCATTAGCGTCTATTTAGAATGTTATATTTTTCAATGGTCAATTACAATCATGCGTCGATTCTCAAGCTTAGGTATGATATACGCAGACTCATCGCTGAACAGCCAATGTTTACGTATATAGTGAAGAAAATTAACATTAGGGTCGCCTGGAAAATGTTAATGATTAAATTGACGACTACAACGTTGTTTTTAACTATTTACCGTTAGTTTTGTAATCCTTGTGTATACGTGCCATCTAGAAGTTTTAACAAACATGTTATTCTATTATATGTTATAACACCAAATGCGTATTCATTAATCGATAGGATTAAATTCATACGTGAATTTACTTTTGTACAACATACTCAAATATTAAAATATTCAAGTACTAATCAAATAAATGAAATATTAAAAGTACAATTTGATACCAGAATGGAAAACTTGTCGGCAGATATAGGAAAAACATTTCTTAGAAGTTATTTTTTCACCGATAAGTACATAGAATAAAATTAGAAAAATTACGTTTGATTACTAGTATAACTGCTAATTTCCCGAGGACAACATTTTAATACCATCTTTCCACCTGGTGTTATGATCAATCATACTAATAAAATAAAAAAATTATTAGAATTAATATTACCAACCCTTAGCGAAGCCGTCAACATTTTTATTATTTTGTAGTACTCCTTTGATTGAATAGGTAATTTTTCTATAAACAATTTTTAGATAATTTAAAATAAAATTTAATACATAGTCAAGTAGTTTACTACCATTATGGCCAACAACTTTGAGTACTTCTAAGACTTCTTTCTTGTCTAAGAACATTTCCGTAAAATAACTCGCTATTTTGTCCACGAAAACTTCTCTCGACAGATTATAATTTTTAATAGTGATTTCATTCTCTTCAGTATTTCTCTAAAAAAAAATTTAAGAAGCATATATTATTTCAATTTAATAATGACTTTTTTGTAAGGCTTAGAATATTTTTGTATAGGTTAAGTAATTAAGGACAATAAACATCAATTTTGTAGTTTTATCTTTGTGCAACATAGTAACACGAATAATAGTTATTGTTTTTTACAAATGTAAATCATACTCAAACCTGTAACTTTCCTGGTAATCTATCAATTGTTAAAACTTAAATGGTGACTTATTTATCTAGTTAAAATTTTTTCTGACCAAAGATTAGTTTTGGATAGACATTTAAAGAAACCAGTACAGTGGGGTCGGGGCATAGTGGCGAAGCACAATGGTGGGGACACAGGTCACAGGTCTACAGGATTTTTTAAATTTGAGTGTGGTTAAATAACTTTCGAAAAAACGCTTCGATGCAAATCGGTAGTTAGTATTTTCAAGCCAGTACAGTCCAAACTAGTATAAACCAGCAAAGTTAGAAAGTTTTAAATTAAGGTTCTGTATTTACAAATAAGCATCAAAGCGTTTATTTGAAAGTCATTTTATTCACTTTTATAACTTTGATTCAAAACAATCCCTGTAGACCTGTGACCTCTCCGTCGCCTCGTTGCTTTGATTCCATTATGCCTTTATTCTACTGTACTAGGCCTCTCGGATAAAATCATACAAACGGAACGTACACTTGCAGGCCGTGTCACACTTTTCATATAAATGTTCACTTAAAAATTACACGAACATAATAAAAAAACGATTATCAACAAACAATATTCTTATAGTTTTCACTTTTGCAAAAATAAAGTCTATTATTTTTGTGTTAAACTTTTATCAGTTATCAATTCATGAATGTCATAATATTATCTACACACCTTATTTACAATATGTTCACGATTAAAGATTACTCGGTCAGGCGAATTGATAATTAGAACAACTATTGTATAATGAACTCATGTTATTATTTCTCACGAAATGGCTGCCAATTTAGAGTTACTTAAATCAAATTTAGTCAATCCGCAAAACGCAGAGTTCTGTTATAATCTACTTTATATCAACTGTAACCTAATAATCAAGTTATGTTGATAAATTGGTTTTTATTAAATAATACAAATTTATAATGTAATCCTCAAACTACGTCATAAACGTTTTACTCTGCATACATGTTACAACCAGAATAAAAACAAGCGTTTTTGTAGACAAGATTTAAAAATAATATATAAAACAAACAGACAATGTTCTGTATCAACTGATATCATTGCATAGGAGATAAAAGCGTACAACAACATGGCGTTCGTGTACACGATGATACCAACAGAACAAAAATAACACTATTTTTTTTATTTCTCACACCTGGTACACTTCG